TTTTCCGGTCCTTTTGAATTGAGTTCCAAGAGAGTGTAAAAACATAGGAGGAATTCTTCATTCCGTTGTCACTTCAGTAGCAGTTACTGAGAAATCGACTCATTAATAGTTGCTTGTTCAGGTTCCATAAACCAATCATATGGATAGACGGGCCAACTAGAGATCAACCAGACTGTGGCTTTCATGGAGAGCTTTGTAGAGATTATGGCGGTAAGTCTTGTGCTGTTATGAGAAGTTCCATCATCCCATGTAGTTTCTTAATGAAAATTGGCGGCTGTTAGGAGAGATCGAGCTGTTATCATTTACAGTTTTTACACTGGTTGCTCGGCGCAGTATGCAGACGGGGGGGCATTTTGCACTTTCGTTGCTTCACTAGTTCTGGTTTACAAGTCTCACCTGTGAAACCTGTGAACTCTTGTGAAGCTGGAGCAAGCTCGTCAAGCCATCATGGTAAAACCTGTCAACTCGAGAAGAGGCTGTCTAGATGGGTCGACACGATGGGAAGTCGTTAAAGTGCAAAATGCCCCCCCCCCCGTCGACAAACAGCGCTCTGGTTGCTCTTCTACGCTTTCATTGAGGTTTTTCTTTCAGGGTACATATCATTCATTTCATTTATTCTCTTCTTTATCGTATTGATTGGTGGAGCAATATCGGCAGGATTTGTGTACAGGTTAGTTGAAGAATCCCCCTACTAATGATGTAATTTTACATGGGGAACTAATCTCATTTATAAAGTATTAATAGGAAGCCGTGTAAAGTAGTGAATACTTTCATTTTTGAGTCGAGCGGACCGCCGTTATACGTCAGTCTTTACCCTTTTTTGGTAGTCTAAAGCAATGATACTGAGAATGCTTGCTGACTGAAAAGTACATCTTTTTCGATTTCAAAAACATATTTTCTAAACTTCGGAACATAGCGGATTGTCCAGGAAACTAGGCAAGAGATTGATCTTTTTGACTGTTGTTGCGCGCTGTACAGCGCGCATACTGCAGTGAAAAAGATGTTGTTGACTGGTTCAAAGATTAAGAAAAACATGATGTTCCGATTCGAAGAAAATAGTAGTGATGTCGATGATTAACTTGAAACGTGTCCCTATTTCCAACCCGGCTGAAACTCGGATTTTTTTTTCAAATGTAATGCGTATTCAACTTTTTCAGAAGTCGAAAATTCGAGAAAGAATTGGCAATGATATGGAAAATCGAAGTCCGTGAAGTACAACGACTTATGCAAGGCAACGCATCGACAACATCGCTTTTCCCGGATGGAAATGATGTATGCTTGCGTTTTATGATTAATTTGAATTGTGAATTCACAACATCACTATTTCCTTGACCAATGGTTAGAGCTGCCCATGATAGACTTTCATTGATAGAATGGTGTTTTTCGCGTTGTAGTGCTGATGTCTAGCGTTTTCAGATGGGTGATCACACGTGGTATACTGGCCAAGACGCCGAAAAGAAAGGTTCTGGTCTTCGAGGTGTCGCTTATTACAAAGGAACTCTCGTTGCATTGAAAGGTAATTGGATAGTTTAACCCAACCCGAATTCATTAGACTGGTCGTGTATTTTTGCTGATAATTTTTTCCAGAGCTGACTTTTTCACGGAAACCTCGCGAGTTGACTAGGCAATCAAAGATCGAAATGAGGGTCATGCGTCAGCTGACACATCCGAATATCAACAGCTTTATGGGTAGGTATCAATAAAGAATTCCCTATGAACTTGTTTTGACGGGATTTGCTTTGATCCCCCAGCTGAAAGGGGCCGGGGGGTTGTCGAGTCACAAAAGAAGAGGTTTCAAGCACAATTGGAATCGTACTAGTGGAGCCAAGAGAACAATGCACAAATGAAATAAAATAGCCTGAAGCCTGCTTTGTAATCAGAACGTCCTACGTCCTACCTTCCCCACCAAGAGTCGTATCTAGTCGCTGGAGGGAGGGGTGTCGTATTTGGTCCAAGAAAAATTTTTTTGTTATTTTTTTATTTTTCCAGCTTCATGGTCGCTATTCACGAAGGAGGGCTCGTACTCGATCATCGTTGGGAGAGAGGGGCGGAGGGGTCGTGTCTGCCTTTGATAGAAATTTGCCGCGTTGG